TTTCTTAAAAAGATGCCGCGTCTGTATTAGAGCAGGAGGTCGACAATTCGAACATTTATTGTAAAAATTATTAGGTCATTACATATAAAATTGGCGTTTTGTAAAGGATGAATATAAAATCAATTTTTTTTGTAAAATATATTTAATTAATCAAAGTATGCACCGTTGTTATATATGCACTTTTGCCATCTCATAGGTAGTTCATTGATCCCTTTACTAAGTATAGGTGTGAAATATATTTAACTAAAATATTACCATTTGTAATCATTTAATATAAAATATAAACTTAATTATAAATTGCTTGCAAATATGTAATTGCTATAAACTTGTTTTCAATAGCGATAATATGTAATTGTACACTTACTTCTCTTATTACCCTCAATATTGCAAGAAGATTGTGCGTGTCCAGTAATAGATAATTTACGAGTACCTGCCGTTCTACATTAGTTCATGTATTTAGTATTACAGTTAATCTTAGTAACTTGTTATTTCTTATGATAACTGAATTGTATTCTTCTTGAGGAATAAATGTATTAAACCATAAAGATACAAACTGTTATTACTACTTTACTAAACTAGATGTACCCGCAGCTTCACCTGATTCGTGGTGATGGAAACAGAGGCTTGTGTTGGTAGGTAGCTAGGTACCTAATTTTACTATATTTTAACTATATAGCAGTAGATCAAGATTTCTGCTTAAAATATTGAATAGGGGTTGAACAGAATGAATATACAGGTTAAAATTATATGTTTGTGCTGTTTATTCAACATACGCCGCCTCGTTACAGATATGCAACCGACAAATATGTACATTTGTTTTTGTTTTTTTTTTTTAATTGTCTTTTGTTGAATTTAGTGATATAATGAATTCTCATCCTTACACATAATTTAATTAAAAATCGTGATGGAAATCAATCACATGGTCATGAGTTCAATTTTATTTAAGGCGTCATACAATCTTTTCCCAATAATTCAAAATAATACAGAGTAATATCGTGTTGTTGGGTAAACACCAAATGTGTACGTGTACGTGACACTCCTAAACGGGCGTACCCATTGAGTTATACAAGACTAGAGGAGCAAACCACATTACCGAGCGTCGAAAAAAGTGAAGCCACTATCTAACCGCGAGGACGTAGCTTTGAAACCACTAAACCTTTTTAAGTAAAAATATATCTGTTTCACTTACACAAGTCGCGAAAACATAACCATCGCTAAGATTAGATAAAGATAGACACACAAACATGCAGTGACGGGTTGGTATTGCCTACTATGAAATTTTACCCAAAAATAAGCAATAAAAAGGAGTTTTTTAAGCTGCAGTTATTTGTTTTTATTTTAAATATGTATCTTTGCTTGTCCGATGAATAGAAGTATAATTAATGAAATGAAAGATATTTTTTTTCGAAGTATCTTTTTTTGTATTGATTAATCAAACATAAAAATAAATCAAGTAAATAAAATAATTTTGGGTTTATTAATTGTGACGCATATTTCAAACTCAGATCTTCTTGGTTAATAAGAAGATCTGAGTTTGAAATATGCATCAATTGTGAAAGCATCGGCAAGTCTTTGTCTCCTAAATTTGGTCTCATGACATTAGCTACAAAAACTGTGGTTATTAATAAATTTTTAAGATAATACTAAATGGTATTAATCTGTCGTACTCATCCGCTTAAATAAACACGGTCGCCATCGCTTTTTCGTCCTAGTTTGCCTTGATCCCGGAAGTGCTTAGAACTAATGAGAGTAGATTTCGAAGGCACCCAGTGAGTATCCTTTCTCATCAATCATATTATTTCCACCCACTTCTTACGGTGTGCTGCATCTTGAGGTACCCTGCAAAATTATTAATATAAAATAGGTAATAAAATATAATTAATAGATCTATAGATCTCTAGAATATTTTAAAATAAGAATAATTAATTCCTTTATATAAAGGTTGAAACATAGTTTTTATTACAATTTCCAAAATATTTAAAATCAGGGCTAACAAGTTAACTTATTCCATAAATTATATAGTCGTAGTAGTGTAATGTGGGAAAATTGCAAAGGCAGAAAAGTGGCAACATTGAACCTAAATTGCAATATTCGATATTTTATTTCATTTTTTTTGTGTTTTTTACGTTAATATGAAAACATAAACTAAAACTTACTTGTGGAAAGTTATTCCGCTTGATTAATTATGTTTTTGTGACCTTGAATCGCATTCTTTCACTACGTATTTACTCATTTTTTTGTCGTGAATCGTTCGGCTCAACTCGGTCGGCGTCGCATTGAACACTGAACCGACGTTAGCTGGGCATATGGCTGTGGCCATATGTGAAGTGGCAACGCTTTGGCGCGGCAATTACTTACCTAGTGTAACATATAAATCAATGGGCGTACCGGTACGCAAGCGAAGCCGACTACTGCCGCAGACGTCGCGGGCAGGGGGAATGGAATCCACTCTCCTTAATACCGCGTCTCATCGTTGCTCCGTCTAGTCGCCGAGTTGACTCACTATTAGTATATATTACACATGGTAATACTTACATAGATTGGCCGTAAAAGCAGGCCTCTGTCACTTTTGCTACCTGCGTGAAATAATTACCTACAATCGGGAGCTGCTCCAGGGGTAGATCGCAGTCGGAGCTAGCGAGCTCCATACGATTGAATGTTAAAGTGTTTTTAACGATGTTTACGTAAATATTTTTTTGTAAATACTTGTTGAAATACACTCTCGTTGAAATAGTTTTTTGTCAGTTTTGTTTAGTCAAAGATATTTTATGACCTATAAAACATCTTTGTGTTTAGTATATTTAATTGTAGGATAAAATAGTTGAAAAAGTTTTAATGTAATTTAAGAATAATATATATGTATATTATATTACCTATCTATTTGATAAATTATAATGGCGAAACGTCGTTCCTACTATAATTGTTACGGGGATGGATGCTTAATGAGCAATTCAAAGGATTCAGATATATCATTTTTTGAGTTACCGAAGGATTAATGAAAGGTAAATTTATTTAATTTTTTGTTAGATAGGTACTTATAGCGAAAAAATAATTTAGTAATAATTTAATTACACAAATAATACCTAAGTACTTTATTACAAAACTTATTGAAATTTACTTCACTACCCAAGTACCTACTTACATACCTATACTCGTCTTTGTAATTAAAATATTGTAATTTATAATAGCACAAAATACTGAAATTAAAACTTTGTTTGCAAGATTTTCAACTAAGTAGATTACGATCATATTATTTCTGTTAGGAATCGTATTTCGGGTTTATTTGTTGTATACGCTATCTACCTATACGAACCAAGCATCGCGATTCCCGACGAATGACCTTGCAATAGATAATATGGTCGATTATAGTCAGCATAGCTACTTTACCAAAGTAACTTACTATTTCACAATGTATTTTTTTACCCTTTATTAACAGCTCATAGAAACCACGGAAAGTCCGTTGTGACGTAGTAAGAAGAAAAGATGCAAAGCAATACGGACACTCTCGCGCAGCGATAGTTTTTTTTAGCTTGCGTGCGCGATTTATCTGATTAATCATAACTATGTAGGCTATTAATTAAAACGTCGGCAAGCAGTTAACATCAAAAGAGTGTAACTCCTGTACGTAGTACTATTATTTATTCTGTGGTAGGAGGTACCGACAAACCGTTATATTCAAATAGAGGATTTTACTTTTTTTAAAGTTTAATAATTTGACCTTTTAGTGGGTTAAAGAATGCAGAACAGTATTTTTTTTATAGAATAAGGGTAACATACGAGCATACAGTCCACCTGATGGTAAGTGGATGCTGTAGCCCATAGACATCTACACTTATTCTCAATCAAAACATAAAATGCAGATGCGTTGTCACTCCTGAGGAGTGATATGGAATACCTCGTATCCAGTAAAAAAGATCTCCGTTTCTCTACACTCACCATACGAAACACAGCAGCAATGAGCGGTTATTCTGTAAGAGCGTGGTCCTACCCGGTCGAGCCGACCCATTCATGCTACAACCATAATATAGCTGCAACGTAGCTCTACCACGTGTAAAATGTCACATTAAAATAGTACTTGTCCTTTGGGGTGGAATTTTTCTTGAAGGTTTAATTTTATTTATTTATTGAACGTGCAAGAGCGTTTGCCGCACAGGTTTAAGAGCTTAGCATTTGCATAAATTCCGCTAAAAATTCAGCAGGCAATGTGTTAAATGTCGAGACAGCTTTGTAGGTATTTTGCAGTATAACAAAGGAGTTGACCCACTATTAGTATTTATTACACATGGTATTACACTCAAATTATTACAATGAATGATTGTAGAGCCAGAGGTAGAAAAATATTTCTTTTTTAGAGCTAGCATCATTTTACCCTGTGCTGTATCCACCAGAGAAGTTTTGGCGGGAACTTGACCTGTATTATTATTCAAATAATGGTTTGAAGTGGATTTTTATATGTACAAGTGGTGCGATTTTTTGTTCGATTTTTACTTTTTTTCGACGAACGAAGTTTTTGTTCGATTGTCTGCGCATGTGAACTATTAGTGGAAACGGAGAAACAAAGATGGTGATGTGAATCTAAAGACCTCTATATCTTTAGTCTACTTAGGCGCCCTGTGATACTATCGCCAACTGTACGTTGGCTCAAGATGCCATCAAAATCTCCCAAAGGCAATCTCCCTGACGCATCAACATATTGTGAAGCAGTGTACCTACTATAAAGAAATCACTTGATATTGCGATAAATAGAGACATGGCTTAAATGACAGCATCCAAGCCAAAATCTTAATTTTCAGTATATATAAAAGTACTCTGTGATCTTAATTTTAAAAAATGTCCACCTTTGTTACTGTCTTTGGAGTTGTCAAGGAATGAAATGAGACGACATTGACACTTGACAGTGTTATCTGTCATTCTATCAGCTCATCACTGTCAAAGTTAACTGTCATTACAGAGAGCTGAAAAAATTTGCTGTAAGATCTACAAAAGTACTCTCGAAAATAATGGGTAACTGGAAACTAGAAGTGGGAAAAATGGCTATGTATACTTCGTTTCCGGTAGGACTATTTTTTTTCTTTAACCAGCCCAAATATTTTGAGGAGTGGGTAACAAACACTAAGCGACAAATCTTTCCTCCCGAAAACAAGAAAGATAGAGAAGACATTCAAAAACTAATCCAAGATATGAGAAAAAAACAAATTCGAGCTTTAGACGGAGAGTAATTATTGTTATTTCTTAATAAGTTTAATGTGCCCATCTGTTTGACATAAATATAGTTCTGTTATACTATTAATATCTCTCTTCATTTTAATTAGTCATAATGTTGTTCCACAAACCAGATTCTGGTAAAGATTTAGTTAAAGAATGAAGGGTTAATATTTTGTTACTAATAAAACAAAAAATATAAATATATTAACATTTCATATACTTAAATCAACGGAAATTTAGCTTCTTTATTCGATTTTGCTCTTCTTGTACTGGTAACTTAATGCGATTCCAAGTAGTGATGAAAGCAATGAGGCATATAATCCATAAGAAACTCCAAAATATTCGCCAATAAACCCTGCTACCATAGGTGCTATAACTCCTGATAAAGATGTCACACTGTGTGTAGCTCCAATAAGCGTGCCCCTATTTTTTCCTTTGCTTCTTATCAAAATCATTTCTAAGGACACTAGCCTACCTACAGCACTACCAATAGCTAATGGGATCAAACAAGCAACATAACAATAGACACTTGTAGCTAAAATCATTCCTGTTAATGATGCACCTACAAGTATAAACATATGTAAGTTTCTCACTGTATAGTCATTATCATAGGAATAAAATTTATTTATATAGCCAATAAAAAAACTAGATAACGATGCTATAACACCCTTGAATGATATAACATATCCTATATATTTTGGTGAAAGCTCATACACAGTTTTCAAGTACAGTGAGTAATTGGAAAAATAAACAGCCATGCTAAAACTAATTAATGCTTTAAGAAAAAATACATCCCAATATTCTGCCCATGGTATCTTTGATAACTCTATCACAGATTGTTTGCTGCTATTCATTATTTTATACAAAACACTTTCATCTTGTCTTGTTTTTTCTTCACAATTTACATCCATTATTGTAGATTTTTTGCTGGTTTTTGGAAGGAAATGTACAATACCTAAAAAAAATATCTCTGTGAATATTACATCTAAAATTAAATTAAAACTAAAGACAAATGTAGTCAAAATTCGCCAGGTATTTAGAGATCTATTAAATGGAAAAAAATGCATTAATATTTATCAAAGATTTATTTTGGCACTTCACACTAGTCAAAGTAACTAGTAAAAATTTACTTATTTATTGACAAAGTTGAGTAACTTGTCACACCAAATTTATTGTCAATAGTCCATTGATTTCACAGTAAAATCAAAGCTACTACAACAAGTTGTAAATATTAGATAACTATTGTTTGGTCATGGTCGGGGGCTGAGAAATTTTGTAGAAATATACTGTGCAAACAAAAACTTAAACAAAAATTGTTTTACAAAGGATGCTTTTACCTGCATTGATAAGAAAGCAGAGACCAACAATAAGAGAAATATACAAAAAACCATGTTCAGGATTGTCTTCTGCTATGTGCCCTCCTATAACAGGTCCCATAGTTATACCAATGCCTGATATAGCAGCCATTTTACCATATATAACAGATTGTTTTAGATGATTACTTTCATAATCTGGTACTAGGGCCTTTGTCAACATCTGAGTCTGTTTAAATAAGCCTGAAAAAGTTTACAAAGTTTAAAAACTAATTACTTCGTCATTAGATATTGTTGTAAGAAATAATTTCTAAAAATAATCCTGTTATACTAAAAAATTTCAATCATTAAAAAATGTTAGTTAAAACAATTACCTAAAATTGCTCTTAAAACTAAAATAACTGCAATTGAAGTAGTGATTCCTAAAAATGTATATGCTCCTGCACACACCAGCAATGTCATCATCAATATTGTTCTACGACCTTTTATATCACTAAGGCTGCCCTAAAAAGCATTATTTCAAAAATTTAACTATAATATACTTACAAGTTTTACAACTTTAGACACATAATAAAGCAAATAACATACTTACATAATTAATTATGTTTAAAGAGATATATTGAAATAAAAAATATGCAAGGTTTTTGCAATATTAAGACCCAATTATCACCCATCCATCCATTACAGCTTATAAAATTCTACTCAACAAAAGCCTCAAAAATGCTCAAAAATACAACATAAGATACCTAACATACTGAAAAAAATCAGTAAACACTCATGGAATCTTTTTGAGTGATAGGCAAATAAAAATATCAGTAAATTGTCAATAATTCCCAGAAAACTACCTCGCAAACAATAATGCCTATTACAGAAAAATATGCAATATTTCAACTAACACAAAGTTATAAACTCCCTAACGAAAGTATGTGTATACAAACTGTAATGTCAGGTGTTGAATAAAAAGAACATGTGTTGCTCAGTTCACGACTTTAGTTATACTGCTCTGTTATTCTACACTTAATACTAATATCATATTATATACTAGCTGTTCCCCGCGATTTCGCCCGCGTGTTATTTGGGGTTTTAATATTTTTGCGAGGAGCCCTAAAAGAGCCCCCTTGCCTTTTTCTAAAATAAAAGTAGCCAAAGTTACTTCTTGTGACATCAGCTATCTGCCAGTGAAAATCCCGTCAAAATCGGTCCAGCCGTTTCAGAGATTAGCCGGAACAAACAGACAAGACAAAAACTTTAAAAATTGTATTTTTGTTATTAGTACCGTATATACTTTCATATGCATTTAGTAAAAAGCTGTAATTTTGAAATTACAAACAGACACTTCAATTTTATTTATTTGTATAGATTGTCAGGGGTGATAGGGAGGCTACAGGGCACTACAGCTCCCACCGACATAAAAAATAAAAATAGAAATAAAAAATTATTTCTATCTATCTTTTTATTCCTATATTTTTTCTTACATTCATACATTTCAAGATACTTTTATTTAATTCACTTTTTTATTAACTTTATATATTTACTTCATTCAAAAAAAAAAAAATTGTTCTATTACTAACTATTATTTATTTTTCATTTTACTCTGATCTATAATCAGTTGAAATTGTCTCATACACTCTCTGCTCCCAACTCCCATGCGATGAGACGAAATGCATGAATATAGTTTTTTGGTTAGTGTCACATTGATGGCCTTGTGTGATTTGTTACTTTCATTCTTCGATCTGAGCAAATTAAGTACCTATGTACTAGTACCAAATTAATAAAGTCCTGTATGCTAACGGAAGAGTTCATTCCAGTACAGTGCCAAGAATTATTTCTTATAGTATACTTCATTTGTGAGCTACACAAGTCTAGTGGTCACCAGTCTGCTCACTGACATCGCACGCGAAGCCAATGTCGCCTGGCTAACCGTAGCACCTGTTCATACCTAAGTCCGAGAATATCAGTTATTTGTAATTTGCTTTACATATCGCTGTGATCCTATGATCTATTCTACTCCTTCATTTTCCCATAGCTACTGGCTTTTCTATGGTAAGTGGAACATCTATTCTATGTATATTGTGCAAGTTGTTTATATTGATTAAACATCAACTTTGCTGTGTATACTTGGACTTAATTATTGACACACTGACAAAACACTTAAATTCAAGGTGTAAGAGTGGGAAAATGTCTAAAACAAAAATTATGGTGTTGTTAGTTGCAAACATGACTGGATAGCTAAAAGAAAAACTTTTACTGATTGTAAAAGCTAAAATACCATGTTATTTAAAGATCATTCAATCACTGCCTATTACATATTAAAATAAGTCATAGATCACATCTCATATTTTTGAAAAAATCTTGTAATTGATAATTACCCTGCTCACCCCTGTAGTCCCCAATCTAAATGCATATAACTTGTATTTTGACCCAAATCACTTCAGTTACTAGTTACTTACTACTACCTCGACGGCCTTGTTGATATAGTGGTTGTAAAAGCGACTACTGATCATGAGTGCCCGGTTCAAGCCAAAAAAAAAACAGTAATAGAGATTTTCCGTCAAGAAATTGTCAGTAGCTGCCCAGAGTCAAGAAATTGGTGGTGTCTCGGAAAGCACATAAAGCCTTTGATCCTGCACCTGATTTATCTCCAGGCCTGTCGGTTTACCGTCCTATCGGACTGTGAGCGTGAAGGAATAGAGAGTGCACCTGTACTTGCATATACACATATAATCCTGTTCTATGCCAATGGCTAGTCGCTGTGACCGAAATTTGGTCTGGAGGACAATATTATTATTACATACTCTAAAAATATAATACAGAAAACTTCAAGTAACTGTATCCTCCTAAATACCGAAAATGGCGAAGATGTTATTTTTTGTTTTGTAATGTTAATGATATTGAAAGCTCAGTAAACGGGCAGACAAAACACTATAGCCAACTGCCTTACGCCATACAGGTTTCAAAGATCTTTTTATATAACCAAACAAGAACAATGTTAATAGGCATCTTCCTAGAATGATACAGTCTCCAACAGCTTAGTTGGCTGCTCAGTTATTTACAGAATCTAGAATTAAAATAGAGGGAGTTCATCGGAATTCATGACAATGTTGTCATGTGTGCGCCAGTTACTGAAGGAGATATTTTAGCAGAAATAATTGCAATACTGACTAGAGAAGAATATGAAGAAAAACAATTTGACCAACATTACTATCCAAGACTATTAACATTGTAAAAACTCTACAAAATTTTGTTGCTTTTAACAAAGAATTTAACTCTGCTGTTAATTATAGTTTCTTTAGGGAAATAAAATATGATATAAAATGCAAAGTTACTTTAGGATTATATAATTTACAGATAATAATTTACAGATAGTAATACACAGATACATATATATGTATCTGTGTATTTTATGTATACTGTATTTATTTAATGCAATTAGGTAGTTTTGTATTGTGTAATGTATTTAGTATAGTTAAACTGTTTTTCTATGTAATTTTTAAAGGAGAGGGAGCAAACGAGCATACGGCCCACCTGATGGTAAGTGACTACCGCTGCCCATGAACAACTGCAACTTTATTTATTCCATCTTTCATAGGGTTAACTGGTAGAAAATGCGATAGGGCATTAAATCTGTGTTGCAATAAAGGATAAATAAATAAATAAAAATATATATAAATATTTTTTAATTTAATTTTTGTAATTTCATTTGCAAGCCAATCCACTTAAACAGAATACTTATATAAAAGTTTAATTTTCAATAAAATAAAAAAATATATATTGCAGCATTATAAATGAATATTAAATAACACCAATAGTTTCAGCAGCATTATAAATGAATATTGAATAACACCAATAGTTTCAGCAGCATTATAAATGAATATTGAATAATGGCAATAGTTTTCTTAGGTATTTTTTTATGTAGTAGTGCCATGTTGCAGCTCTATGCAAAGCTGCCGTGTTTTGTATGGGATATGCAAGGAATCGGAGGCCCTTTTTACTAGAAGTGAGACATTCCAACTTACCCCTCTAGGGGTGGCAATGCATCTGCATTTTGATTCTTAATCGTAGATAGAAGTACATAGAAGTCTATGGCCCACAGCATTCACTTACCATCAGGAGGTGAACTGTATGCTTGTTTGCCACCCTTATTCTATAAAATCAAAAATGTTATATCCAGTTTCAACTGTATAACCAAAAAATATAGATTTCAATTTAAATTACTAAAGAATTTAAACCGAATGGGCAGTGTTTGATCTAAGTAATATTTAAAATACTCACTATAAGAGGGCCAGATCCTAACTGACATCCAGAATATATAGAACCAAGCAAACCGACATATATATGATTTCCTCCCATCTGTCTGACATGGTTTGGCAATAAAGGAACGATCAGGCCAACCGCCAATAAATCCTGGAATTTAAAATCTTATTTAATTATACAATAGCTACGGAATAGTAAACGAAATGTTCGTAAAATTTAATTTAAGGAAAAATAAAAACGCACAAAATTATAAATTTTAATTTTAATAATATAGGAAGAAATTCTAATAAAAACAAACCAAAAATGCCACCAGTTGCAACAAGTACACGCGAAGAGACATTTTGAAGTACTTAATTACAACAATATAGAACTTTGGCAAAAATAAACCAAAAGGAATCAGCACATTATTAGACGGACATTATTTAATGTATTATCATTTTATATATTTCCAAAAAATGATTATCATTGCGCTAGTACTTCATAATAGGTTTACGGTCAATTTTATGTTTGTGGTAAGTGGTTATCATTTATCAATTATCATTTATCAACTTTTCAAATTCCCTATTTAAAAAAAAGTACTCTGTGTTTTCAAACTTGTCACAACTCACAAACCACAAACTCACGCGTAATCTTGTTCTTGTCAATTATGTTCTTTTTTTCTTTCATTTATTGTGGCATTAGCTACAAGGTAAAACCCGTTATAATGTTAGTTTTTTTAGCTATTTCATCTTAACTCCATAAATTCTAAAATTCAGTTCACAATGGGATTAGAGGCAAACAGTTCTTTAGCTTTTCTAGATGTGTTAGTAATTCGGAATCCTGATAACACCTTGAGCCACACTGTGTATGGAAAAAAGACCCATACAGATAGATATTTAAACGGTGATTATCATCACCATCGTTCACATTTAGCTACCGTGGATAAATCACATCTGGCCGCCGAGCTCCAACACGTCAAGCAAGTTTTGCATGACAATATGCTTCGGGTCCCGCGCCTACGTCATAGTGAACGAGTGAAGCCGGCCACAGTCGAGCGAGTGCCTGTTGTACTACCATATGTCAGAGGTGTCACTGACAAGATTGACTACATCTTGAAGCGTGCTTCCATTAAAACATATTTCAAGCCGCCGAAGATTAGTCAGGTTTTACCATCAGTCAAGTGTAATCTCCCTTTGCAAGATGCAGGAGTGAACAAGCTTGATTGTGAATGCGGTCTCTCTTATATATGTATAGGACCAACCAAAAGATCCATAAAAACCCGCGTTAAAGAACACATAGCTGATGTGAAGAATCTACGCTCAGGGAAGTCTGCAGTCATTACATTAGATTTGATAGACCACAAATCCTCGCTAAAGAACACCGATTCCTTCCAAGGATGATTCGCGAGGCTATTGAAATCAAAAAACATCCTAATTTCAATAGAGAAGATGGCTGGGTGCTACCATCTGCTTGGGATCCCATAATTAATAAAATTGAATCCCAACCTCTTACCCCTTACCCCGTACCCTTCAAGATACTGTAAGTTCATACTGCGCAGATCGGAACAAAAATTTATAATTTTTAATCTGGAGGTATAAGGAAGCTCAAGGTCGCTCAGCGAGCTATGGTGAGGGCTATGCTCGGAGTTTCTCTGCGTGATAAACTTAGAAATGAGAATATCCGCAGTAGAACCAGAGTGACCGACATAGTCCAACGGATTAGTAAGCTGAAGTGGCAGTGGGCCGGCCATATAGCTCGAGGAACCGATGGGAAAGAAAGGTTCTCGAGTGGCAACGAGGCGAAGTGTAGGGCGACCCCCCACTAGATGGAGTGGCGACCTGGTAGGACATGCAGGAAGTCGATGGATGCAGGTGGCTCAGGACCGTGCTTTGTGGCATTCCTTGGGGGAGGCCTATGTTCAGCAGTGGACTTATGAAAGGCTGTAATGATGATGATCATCTAGAGGTAGCCGTGGTTAACTATGACATTGGGACGTCATACACCTCAGTCCCACCCCCCCCCCCCCCTCCCCCGTGACCTAGGGTGCTGTAAAGTGCTTAAAACGTCGGGAATATAAAATAAGTTAATATACGTGATAAAATCCGTAATATTAGTTTTATTTAAAAAGTATTATAAATTTAAAGTTTATGTTGCACAATAATTATACTCAAGTTTAGTAGATTTTTAATATGTAATATAAGTATTACTTTCCAAACTGCATGATTAGATACAACTTTTTTTACAAGGTATTCAAAATCTATCATGCATATCATTTAATCTCTTCGAAAATTGTGCCAAATAATAGGTTACATAATAAATAATTATTATTGTAGATTAATAATAAAATTATTTTGCGTGACTTTTGACACATGTTTGCTAGAAGTACCTAACCAATTATTAAAACTGTCAAAATACTATCCTGTCATTTTTTTATTATTATTTTTCATTAAAAGTGATTACTAAGCAAGTTAATATTTTGTTTTTTCTTTCTTCAACCAATACAGTAAAAAGATTCAATCTAACTCGAATTAGGTATTATAGTATTCTTATTTATTTTGTTTATGCTAGTACTATTATTGTTAGCACAAGTACTGTCTATGTCCGTTAAGAAAAAAACATTTAAATTTAAATCATATGTCTTTTACATAAGTCTTTTTGGCATAACAATAGTACCAAATTTTAATACTATACATCGCTTTTCCGTACGGTCTTGTGACATGTTATAATGTTTAAGTACTATTATCCTGTGTGCTTGTATTTAAAAGATATTATATTATCCTCTAAATCCGATTACACTAAAGTGAAACGTGTAGTGCTCGAATGGAAGAAGGTTTTGTAAAAGGACAGTCGGACAATCTGCTAAGAGTGGATAGTTTGATTTTTTTTTTTATTTTTTTTTTTTAAATCTTTATTGATTATAGAGGGTTTGATCTATTAGATCATGTCACCCTCATAAGTACACAATCAAATACATATAATCAACAATGATAAATTCACGTAAACAATAATAAAAAATTATCTGTTCTTAATACCTAACAATACTAGTTTATATAGTTTTCTAGCCTTATCCGACAATGGAAAAGCTAAAATACTATTACACAATCCAACACTATTTTTGTCAAAACCTAATAGTTTTCTATATGCTTCGTTCCGTTCACATTCCATCATAATATGGATAGTATCTTCCAGAACTCCACATTTGACACAATTTGGTGAATTCACTTTTTTCATCATAAACGCAAATTTGTTTAATGGAATATGTCCAGAACGAAGCCTCATTGCTGTAATAATGTCTTGCCTTCCCATATTGCATCCTTCAAACCAAAGGAAGCGGGAAAGATGCGGTTGTATCGTCTTGTACCAAATACCTTTTGACAGTGACCTTTCATCAAAGTATTCGGACCACTTTTCTGTACAGTTTTCTCGGACTTTAGATAAGAGTTCGGAGAAATAAGGAACACAATCGAAATTATCCCCATCACTTATCGCCTCTTTAGCAAGAATGTCTACCGCCTCATTTCCCTCTAAACCAATATGGGAAGGCACCCATTGTAAGACTATCCTTTTATGGTTCGATTTTAATGTTAAAATATTACTTAATATGTCGTAAGCCAAAGGAAAACCACGACACAGTAAAGTACATCTTTTTAAATGTTGAAGGGCACTGCGAGAATCAGTTAATATCAACAATTTATCATATTTAAGTGACTTGACATAAGATAAGGCTTCCGCAATTGCAATGAGTTCCGCATGCATAACTGAAATTTCCGTACCTAAGCAAAGCTTAATGTATTCTTTGGTTTGAATGTCTAAAAATGCAGCACCCGTTCCTTCTTTATCTTTAGAGCCATCGGTATATATTTTATAGTAATTTGTAAAGTTTTCAGTTAAATGTTTTCGACATAAAGTTTGTAAGTAAAGGGGATTGTACTTATGTTTAGGTGCGTTAACAAATTCTATTTGAGGGATTATAGAATCAGATAAATCCAACTTGCTAATCCACGAATTGAGTGAAAACATTTCTAAGTAAGGACTTGAAAATATACGAGTTTCTTTAAATAATCTATGGGTTGTAACTAGCAGTGGGGTTTTCCTACGTCGCCAATAGAAGCTTTCTTTACGTTCATCAAGGATACATAATAAATTTGTAACAATATTTTCATCAATAGACTTACACTTTAACCAAAATTTACCTGCTAAATATCTTCTTCGAATAAACAATGACTGTAAAAGCAGTTCCGATTCCATTACATGGATAGGAGTACTTTTGACAAACCCACCAATTATCCGCATACACTGATTTTGTATTATATCTAGTTTTATTATATGTGTTTTGTGGCTATTATCAAATAAAAAGCTAGCATAATCCAATCTACTACGTATAATAGCTATATATAAGCGACGCAACTGAACTGGATGTACTCCCCACCCTGGTCCTGTTAAAACTTTTAAAATATTTACAAACTTAAGGGCTTTCTCTTTTATTTCGTTTATGTGCTTGGCCCATCGAAGAGATCGATCTAACCATAACCCTAAATATTTAATGCTTTCAACGATTTTAAGGCTTCTTTTGTTAACCGTTATATTTATGTGTTCTTTTACGCGTCCATTCCTAAATATGCATACTTTACTCTTTGATGAAGATATTTCTAGTCCTAACTTGAAAAATAAACTATTAAGAGTGTTCAGAGCTAACTGTATATCAATAACTCCGTTACTGATACTATCACAATTCTTATATATAACAAAATCATCCGCATATTGAGAGATATAAACGTTCTTCACAGTTTTACATATATTAAGAGTAGCTACATTAAACAAAAGAGGAGATAACGGATCTCCTTGGGCTAGACCTCGCCCTGTAAATCTACTGATACACATGTTATCCACATATATTTTAAGATGTCGTTCATAAAGGAAACTACTAAGATATTGACAAATTTTCGTTCCTACATTAAGTTGATCTAAGGTGTGCAGTAATGCATTTATGTCAACATTATTATACGCATTGTCTAAATCTAAGAAGCATCCTATCGTGGACTGACTCTCTGTAAAACCTATTTGTATCCTTGATACCAAACTACTAAGACTATCTAAGCAGGATCGGGTTCTCCTAAAACCGAACGTATTAGGAGAAAAGACTTTGTTTTTTTCCAGAAACCACTCTAGTCTCCCTTTAATAATTAAATGAAAGATTTTGCATAAGCAAGACATAAGTGATATCGGGCGCAAGGACGATACATCATTAATGTCTCTTCCTGGCTTTGGGATCGCTATGATACCAATATCTCTCCATTGTGATGGTACGAAACTGTTTTCAAGAAAAGCATTATACAGCTTGATTAAAATGCATTTGCCATT